TCGCGCTTGTTCTGTCCTTTCTCTGCACGCTGAGCGTCTCTGCGTTTCCCGTCTCTATATGCTGTGCAATGTTCTGGCCAGGTATCCGTCTTGCTCGAGGAAATTCTCGTACCGTTTTGCTTCACAATCAAGCCAATTAGCCCTTACAAATTCATATTTGGACCCGCCATCGAAGCTAACGTTAAAAGTTTGAACTAGATACGAAAACCTACCCCTCGGTGAAATGTGACATCTCGTTGGACATCATGATTATCAATAAAATTCACAACATCATGGTCTTCCAAATTACCGTAACCATAGCCGTTACCCATATTGGCGAGCCAACTGAAAAATATCGAATTTGGTTAGAGTTCGGAATTACGACGAATTTGAACGTACGACACCTCCAATCGCCTTGGCCTTTAGCAATTCTTGAAACGGAAGTAGCGAAGTTGAAATTCGAATACCTTAATGAAAGATGGTTATTTTCACCATACCGGTAGTGGCCAGGAGGGGATCGGGTGTCCCGCTTCAACCCTCTCCCTTCTTGAAAGCAGAATCACGAGCGTAATACTTCACAAAAAATCCTACTGTGCTTGTAAGTGAACCTGCCAAGTGTCACATATTGCCCAACTGAAACGGCTTCGTCTCCCTGATCGGTGACTTCGTGGACAATAAATGGTCGCTGATTTGGTCCGAAAATCTGAAGCTATCTTAAGTTGGACTTTCTTAGTTGGCTATCCACAGATAAAGTGAAGCAACACATTCCGCAATCATCAAATGGGCGGGGAAGTGAGCAGAAAGCCGAGATGCCCTTTTTCTTATGATTAGCAACCTTCTCCTCTTGACCGCGTTAGTTCGGTGGTAGCAGTTTCTTTCTTCCTATTACCTTTTCTCTCTCTTCTTTTCCTTCCCTTTTCGGCTTTTCATTCACCTTTTCGCTTACAGTTCTGTCACTCCAAATTACTCTCTTGGTCCCCCTTTTGCTCTCTCTCTCTTCTCCTCTCTCGATCGCCCATTCTTAGAATTGCGCATTGTTCTGGAAGGTACCAGCGACGGAGAAGGCGGTGTGGAGGGGGCAGGGGCATTTGACTTTTGCTACTTCCAGCGTACGCTGTCAAAGCCACCTGTATAGAGTTTTTTCATGATGCTTAAAGGGAGTTAATAGTATGTCCTACCATGGTAGTTTTGACGAGCTCTGCTCTCGGCCTCATAAGTGGTCATGTCACCAGAATTGCGGACTTGCAAGTCCGAAAGCTCTGTGAAGCAACGGTCGGATAATGCAACATGTCCCCCCCCCCCCCCCCCCCCCCCTGCAATCCGCGCCGTTCCACATATTGAATTTCACGGAAGAAATACGTAGGAATTACAAACTCACATCTGCCCTCAAGTTTTTCGTAGCTCCAAGAATCAATTCTAGATCTGCTGGCCACATGTGCTTTGAGGCATCAAATCTGATAAAGGGAAAAGTTACAGAAAGTGGCTAGATGGCTCAGAAACCCGTGTTATGTGCTGTAAACTGTGTATCACGTTTTACCTCAGCGTGGCTGCTTACAGCTTGCTACAACTGGTTAAAGGCACGGCACCCTCCAACTGTGTGGGCGGAGAGGGGGGCGGATTTCGCTCTTCTCTTTTCTTCAATGCTCTCTTCATTTGCTCCCTCTTTCCTTTACCGTTTTAGGCCGCATTCATACTTTGCGGCATCGTCCTTTAGCTACAGCAGCACAAGCGACCACCGGCGTTTCGTGTGTCCGTCAGCGAGTAGGAACCTATAAAAATCAATCCAGCGAACGACAGCGTCTACCAGCGTTCGCCAGCATCCACCAGCATTTCGAGGCACTGAAAGAGTATGAATATCGATTGGCGAGCGCTTGTGTCCCGAGCGACCACCAGCGTCCAGGAGTAGAGACTATAGGGAAGGTGGAGGGTAGCAGGCAGCTGGATCATTTCTCATGAAATTGCGGCTGCATGGTGCAGCTGCCAAAACACAGAATTCTGCAGTTTAATGTAGGGTACTCTGTGCAGTAGCACGAAGCCATTGCACACGCCCAATTTCGCGATGCCTAATCCAGCTGTCTGCTTTCTTCTATTTCCAATACTCTATCAGCAGCCTTCTACCCTCCTAATTCCCCATACTCCCTTCCAGCAACTCCCAGACGCTGGTGGGTGCTGGTGGTCGCCGTTGGACGCTGGTAGACGCTGGTAGACGCTGGCGTTCGTAAATCGATATGCAAACTTTCCTAGTCGCTAACGGTGACGGGCGACCGAAACGCTGCCTCAAAGTATGAACGCAGCCTAGAGAGGAGCGCGCTGGTAAAGTGCGCCCCTTCCCTCTAATGGACAGTAATTATGGTTTGGGAACTATGGTAGTGCGTACTATGTCCGCTTCGCCCTCCCCCTCCCACACTATCAGCGTACTGTATTACAAACTTAGCGGAATTATTGATATTTTAGGAACAATACATCCAATAATCACCGAAAACCAGCGACACCGTAATCGATCATCTTATTGAGAAAAGCAACCAATTTGCTCCTCACTTCTGGACGGCCCTGATTCAGGTCCGTAAGAGCCTCAAGGCGGCAGTTTCTGACCTGAGTTCACATTTTTATTCTGACGTCATCTTACATTTCATTTTCAGCTTTCACTAGAAAACGTTCAATGAATTGTTTGTAAAGGACGCACCTTGCTTAGCACCCTCTACACTGCGTTTGATTAGTCTTCTCGTTTAGCGATTTGTGGTTTACAGCGAAAATCGTTAAAGTCAAGCAGCGGCTATTAAACTGGGTCCCTGAGAGTAATGCCAAAAAATTTATAGTATTATTGATAGAAGGGAGCGCCGTCAGAGATCCACCTTGCCGGCGACTTGCGCAGCAAATCGGTGCATCGCACCTAAGCCTGACTTAACCCAGCGTGGAAACTTCGGGCCGGGGGCAACGTTCTGCAGCTGGGCGCGACAAAACACTCGTAAAATGCCGACCCCGTCCCAATTTTGTAGCTCTTGCTAACGACCACCCTCCCCCTTCTACCTACTGCCTATAGCCTTGCCCACTTTATCATCTTCCACATTTACCGAAATCTCCCCAAAAAAAAAATTCCAGGCCATCTCCTTAGATTCTGCCCAACGGACACGGGTGGAGGGGAGTGCAGCTACGGCTGCACTTGCACCATAAGAACGGAACCGCAAAAAGTCAGTGGACGCCGGGAATTCTCTGCTTGGCTGTGCACGGCAGTAAATAATGGGATAATTACGATCTCTCCCTCCCTTTCAAGCCCACCAAAATGGCGACCACTGTGCAGTCAACCTTGTTTTGGAAAATTTGCTAGTTGCCGCAGCGTCGGATCTTCTCCAAACGCGCCCAACAATTTAAAGCACGGTCTGCGATAAGAGGCCTAGCGTGAATGTTGCAGAAATGTGAAAAAATTTTGCCAAGTGCACACCTATGAAAGAGAAATGCCAAAGGGAACGTTGGAACGTTCGTCAGGCCTTCTCTAGCCTCAAACAACTGTAGAGGTAAAAGACCGAAAAGACCGCGCGCTGGGACAATTCCCGTCGGCTGATTCCCAGTAATGAACCCTATGACTCTACAAGAGACATTGAATGCATCCACTCCATGATACTTGCCCGGGAGCATACTTTTGGCTGGAAGGCCGACTTTGGAGGCGGAGTCTGGGGGCGGACTGGAAAAAGGGATGTACCACTGAAGCAACTTTGCGCCTTAATTCCTTTACCGTACAACTTTCCGCCGCGAAACTGGCACAGGGTTGTCCACTCCGGACCGCACTACCTTCCCACATAACCTCTTGCATTTTCATAGGTCATCGCGGACCGTTCCTTTAAGCAACGAATACAGTAAAAATCGTCGTCTCACCGCAGGAAAATTCTCGGCAAAAGCCGTGCTGTCAAACCAGCTTCCACCGGAGCTGGTTTCTCCATTTCTTCCATACTGGGCATTCACTTTGGTCATGTGATTCAAAATCGCATCAACGACAATTCTGATGTTTCTCACTTATTGTTTTGAAAGAGTGATCATTAATCAGGTAAGTAAACATGCTGTGAAAAGTAAACAAGTCACAGACTCGCTCATAGACACATTCCGCAGTAACCCGAGCAATAATTAAAGCTCCTTCCCGAGTTGTACCGCCTATGTGGCTTGAAAATGAACGATTAAGCTGCTGGGACCGTCATCTGTCATAGTAACCCCGCCCTCCCGCTAATGGCCCCACCCCACTTTGTCTCTGGTCTTTCGAACGCACTCTCAACGTCTCTTCACCTCTCTCTCATGTCATCCAAATCAACTGCAAATGACAGGCTAATCTTTTGATGTCTACGTTTGCAATCGCAATGTGTCTTTGAAGCGAATGCTACCTTACGCCGACTCTGTTGCATCTGTGCACCATCTCCTTGAATTCGGACTCATTTCCGCTCCGTGAAACTAGTTTATAGCTCACTGGTTGGTATCTAAACAGAAACAGTGGAACTGAAAGCAAAAATCGACAAAGTGTAGCTACTTCTGTTAACTAGATAACTTCTCGGCATTGACACAAAGTTTCAGAAATCCCTCTCCGCCCTCCCAGCTCTAACAGTTGGCCATAACGAAAACGAGCAGACAGTAAGACTGCATACATTGTGGCAGCGTCTACAAACGTTCACCAGCGACTGCTAGTGAACGACAGCATCAGCGATTAGGAAAGTATGGTTATCGATCTTAAATCTGCCAGCGTTGGGCAGCATCTCAAGGACTAGCAAAGCATAGGTATCATTCTCGCGTCTCTCAGCGTCTACAGTCGTCCACTGGCGTCCTCCAGCGACCAGGAGTAGAGATTATGGGGACATAGGAGGGTAGCAAACAGCGGATTGGGCGTAGTCAAACTGCAACGTGTGCTCCCGCACCATACACTGTATTACATTAAACTGGATTGAATAATTCTGTGCTTTAGCAGTTGTGCGA